CTCTCCCTCTCTCTCTCTCTCTCACACACACACACACACACTCTCTCTCTCACACACACTCACAGGTTCTGCTGTCAGTTTCTCTGCTGTGAGGTGTGTGTGTGTGTGTCTGTGTTTTTGGTGTCTTTTCATCCATAAAGTGTTCTAACAATCAGTTTTGAAATGATTTTGACAATCAATGCTCTATAAAATAAAAGGGCCTCAGATGACCACCAAGTGAACTGTATACAGCTAGAAGTTTAATAAATCAGATAAAGAAACCAAAACTTATTTGAAGTATTTAATTGAAAAGCGCGTTATCCCACATCGGGTTCAGTGCTGTCACTCAAACGACATCCAAGTTGAAGACTGTACAAACCAAAAGTTATAAATGATTGATATACAGTCAAACCAAAATTGATTCAGACACCTTCAAAATCTCTCACATTATCAGTTTATTCGCTATAGTTTAGAATATGGTAACTTTGATAGAAAGGTATGTAACAAAGTGTCAAATCAATTTTACTGGTAGTCCACTGTATGAAGAATTTTTGGGTATAATATGTCACATAGGACTCTATAGTGTCCTGCATCCACTTGTAAAAAAAATATATATATAAAAAATTATATCTGGTGTCGTCTGCATAATTTTTGGTTTGACTGTGTTGGGTGAAGAAAGGGAACAATATAAGAGCAGAGAACCAAATCATCAATAATAACACCATTGCCCGCTCATTGTATGGATGAGTTATCGCAGTGTTAAACTGAAGCTGTCTGCTGTCTGCAGGTGGATGGAGGCGTGTCTGAAGGAGGAGTTACCTGCTCCCACTGAGCTGGAGGAGGCGCTGAGGAACGGTGTTTATCTGGCTAAACTCGGACACTGCTTCGCTCCTCGTGTGGTTCCGCTGAAGAAGATTTACGATCTGGACCAGCAGCGATACAAGGTTTCATGACTGCGATAATGTACATGTGCCTTTGGCGTAGGGCTGCACGACTATGACAGAAATCATAATTATCGATTATTCCCTTGAACTTGTAATTGCGATTATTAATTTACATTGAATGATGTTTATACCATTGTTTGATGCAACTGCGTGCCGTATTGTTATATGAAAATAAACAAGCTGAAAACACTAACTGAAAAACCTTTAGTGCTTTTCTATAGTATTAAGCCTCAAATGTCAACTATACATCGGATTGGTTTCTTTAAATTATTAAAAAAGTAAAAATATGAATGGTATTATAGTGTTATACTAATGGTAAAACCCTTAAGATAACATGTAGAAAGAAAAAAAACGCATCTTAAGCATGCAGGATAACATAAGTGGACTTTGAATGATTACGTAATTGTGGCTTCATAATTGTAATCGCGATTAGAAATTCGATTAATTGTGCAGCCCTACTTTGGCATCAGTGGGTTATGTATCGCTGCAAAAAAATGATTTTTTTTCTTCAGGATTTTTATCCTGTTTTCCAGCAGAAATAGGTAAACATTCTAAATCCAACATAAAATCAAAATTGCATAAAAATATAAAGTCTTGTTTTCTGAAAAATGTATCAAATAAGAACAAATATGTGTCACTGGGGTCAAAATCAACTTAATTCAAAGCATAAACTCACTTCATTTTGATGCATTTTTTAGACCGCAAGACTTTATATCTTATGTCATTTTGCTTTTTAGGTAAATGTATTTGTTTTAAGAATGTTTAGGTATTTGTACTAGACACCAAGCAAGAAAATAGTTATTTTCAGTGTTTAAAGGAATAGTTCAATTAAAAATGATAATTCTGTCATCATTTAGTCACTCGCATTTTGTTCCAAACCAGTATGAACACAAAAGAAGATATTTTGAAGAACCAAATAATGTTGGTTCCCGTTGACTTCCATTGTATTTATTTTTTTGGCCATACACTGCAAAAACTGATGTTTTTCCTCATTGTTTTCCAGCACAAATATCTAAACCTTCTTAAATCAAGACACATTTATTGGAGATGCAAAATGACGAGACATTAAGTCTTGTTTTCTGAGAAGCGCATTAAAATTGAGTGAGTTTTTGCTGAAAACAAGAACAAATGCCTGCTAATTGGTCAGAAAAAAAAAACTTGCATTCCCTTTGAAGTTTCTTTTTCAGACTCTATTGGCAAATACGTGACCCTGGAGCACAAAAGCAGTGTTAAGTCGCTGGGGTATATTTGTAGCAATTCATTTGGACAACTTTAAAGGCGATTTTCTCAATATTTTGATATTTTTGCACCCTCAAGATTCCAGATTTTCAAATAGTTGTATCTCGAAATATTGTCCTATCCTAACAAACCATACATCAATGGAAATATTATTTATTCAGCTTCATGATGCATAAATCTCAAAAAAAAAAAAAATGACCCTCTGAGTCTGGTTTTGTGGTCCAGGGTCACATATTTGTTCTCGCTTAAAATTTTGATATATTTTTCAGAAAACAAGACTTAATATCTTAAAGGGGTCATATGATGCTTTTTTAAAGATCATTAACGCACAGTGTTTGTCCTGTTTGTCAGCGCAGTTTTAAACTTGTTTAAATCATCCAAGTCATTTGTGTTCTTGGCTGCATTTAGGTGCTTCACACTGGACTGTTCTGTTGTAAGTGATCTTAAAGATTCCTAAATGCATCTACTTTCGGAAGGCCAAATAAAGTGCTTTTGCTTTCGCCTAGAAACACACAGCGTCTCCCTGACATGGCTGCTTCAACACTAACTGCGGTTACTGAAACCACGCTTTCTTTCTTTGCGTGCACATTTGGGCCGCATTGTGCTAATATTTCCACATAGTGAGGTAGGTATGTGGGGGCGTGTTAGAATGAGCCGTTTTAGGGGGGCGTGGCAGAGTCTTAACTTTGATAAAGAATATCTCTTTGGTTTTGAGACTTTAGTCTTTGCAACTTCAGGGATCTTATCTATGCACAATCAGCTTGTAACACTCCAAAGAGAAAGGACAACTTGAAATCGCATGATATGACCCCTTTAAGTTATTTTGCTTTTTAAAATACATTAATGTTAAGATTTTTGAACTGGAAAATGAGACAAAAATGAATTAGATATAAATGTTTTGTACTCTATATTTTTGTAGTGCATATAAGTATTCAAAACATTCTTCAAAATATCACGGAAGAAAAAGTCACACAGGTTTGGAAGCACATGATGATCATTTTTTGGGTGCACTGTGCCTTTAGGAGGCAGAAATGACAGGGTAGTGATTGTGCAGTTCTGTCCTCAATGAGATCTTGCATTGCTGTCGTTGATGTTAAACATGATCTGATGTCTCATGCTCAGGCCTCTGGGCTTCAGTTCCGTCACACGGACAACATCAACCACTGGAGGAGCGCCATGATGGAGGTCGGCCTGCCGACGGTAAACCACACTCTTCTGCTTGCGTTTTATCCCATGATGCCTCTGCAATCGCTCTACCGCACAAACATGAACTCTAATGAATAGGGATGTAGCGATTAACCACGAGTCGGTTGAAAATCGATTTAAATATGTGACGATTCAAATCGTTTGAGATGCTAAACAAATCACGATTCAGTTAGGGTAAATGAGAAGATCCGATTAATCGGAAAAAATAATCGGTCAACTAATCGATTATCAAAATAATCGTTAGTTGCAGCCCTAGTTACATCCCTACTAATGAACTTTGCACATTACTGAAGATGATTCCTGATGTGTTTTCTGCAGATCTTTCATCCGGAGACGACGGATGTGTACGACAAGAAGAACATGCCCAGAGCCGTTTACTGCATTCACGCGCTGAGGTCTGGATCATAGATGATTATAATCAGATTCTGTGTGTTTCACTGCAGTTTGAGCTCGTGTTATAACTGATCTATTGTGTTAGTTTGTTCCTGTTTCGTTTGGGACTCGCCCCTCAGATCCACGACCTCTGCGGGAAGGTCAAGTTCACAGGTGAATCTCTACACCGCAGTTTCTCATCAGAGCTGTTTCTACATTGCGTGTTTGACCGATCAGCATCCAGAAGCACAGCTGTCGGTTTTCTAAAGCCTTTGAAATGTTCTGCAGAGGAGGAGATCAATAACATGAAGCGGGAGCTGGATAAATACGGCATTCAGATGCCAGCGTTCAGTAAGATCGGAGGAATCCTGGCTAACGAGCTCTCTGTGGACGAGGCCGCAGGTAAAACACATGCCTGCACTGCAAAAACTCACGCTTTTCCTCAGGATCTTTGCAATTTAATAAATAATAACATCTACAAAGCACCCTTCTAATAACTTCATGCAATTAAAATAAAATACATAAAATAAAATACAAAACAGCCCTCTACGAACACCTTGGCAATTGAATCGCCATTGGCTAGTAAATTTTTTTGTTTACTCGCCAGACTGATAAATATATACATACACATATACATATAGCTAAACTTATACTTAGCCTCCAACTCACACACTGGCGAGTAAAATCTGAGAATTTATTAGCCATTGGCTAATATTAGACATCATTTAGTCGCCAGAGTGAAGATTTAGTCGCATATGCGAGTGATTTACTCGCAATGTAGAGGGTTGCAAAAGTTATGCATCCAGATCAGTGTTGTTTTAGTTTGACTTGTAATTATTGATATTTTATTAGTAGTATTTATTAAGATTTATTGTTAAAACTCAGTTTTTATTTTAATTGTTATTATTTTTAAAATAAATTATTAATTTATTAATTATTTTGTTAAACTTTCATTTTGTGTATTTTTGTCATTGTTTTAAGTAGTTCTTTTGTCTATATAGTTAATTTTTATTTCAATTTTAGTACATCAGGTTAAACTAAATTAAAATGAGATGCTGCTGAAATAAAATGTTTTTTTTTTATGTTTTACTTCAGTTAACATTTATTATATTTCAAGCGGATTTAGATTTCATTTTAGTTAACTATAATAACCCTGATGCAGATCAATACATTTAAAGGGGTCATATGATGTTGCTAAAAAGAACATTATTTTGTGTATTTGGTGTAATGAAATGTGTTTATGCAGTTTAAAGTTCAAAAAACACATTATTTTCCACATACTGTACATTATTGTTTCTCCTCTATGCCCCGCCTTCTGAAACACGTCGATTTTTACAAAGCTCATCGGTCAGGTTAATTTAAACGACGATCGATCATGGAAATGATCGAAAATTGACATCCCTAATTTCCACATAGTGAGGTAGATATGTGGGGGTGTGTTAGAACGAGCCGTTTTAGGTAGGCGTGGTTAACTCTTAACTTTTATAAAGAATATCTCTTTGGATTTGAGACTTTAGTGTTTGCAACTTTACAGATCTTCTTTATGCACCAAGAGCTTGTAACACTCCAAAGAGAAAGGAACAATTGAAATCGCATCATATGACCCCTTTAAATTCTTTCTGGTTTTTTAGTACAAATATCTAAGCTTTCTTAAATCAAGATACACTGAGATGCAAAATGGCATAAGATAAGTCTTGAGAAACTGATTAAAAAGAAGTGAATTTATGCTTAAAAAAACAAGAAAAAATATCTGAAAGTCAGAAGAATAAGAGAAAAGTGACAGATTTTTATTTTTTTATTTTTTTTGCAAAGTAATTGTATCTTTAGATGCTTGTACAAGATTAAAAATACTGAGGAAGAACTGCAGTGTGAGCAGAACTAATGTTTACAAGTATTACAAGTAAGAGCCGAATGAGTGGCACAGAAAAACACACTTGATTTTTAAACAGAAGTGAGTGTTGAGCAGAATGATGTTGTGTGTGCAGTGCATGCGGCTGTGATCGCCATCAACGAGGCGGTGGATCGTGGCTGTGTGGAGGTCACAGGTCAAGCCCTGAGGAACCCCAGTGCTGCGCTGAACGGTCTGCAGGACTCACTCGTGCTCGTGTATCAGGAGATGCTGCGGCAGGCACGCCTTCAGAAAGCAGCGCGAGCGCGGACACACGTGAGAGCCTCACACCAGCACACACTCGTGAGAGAGAAACAGACTGCTGCGGAGCGGATGCCAATGCTTCTGTGTGTTTCAGGCAAACGGATCAGCAGAGAAAGACATCTATGAGGAGTACCTGACGCAGAGAGAAATACAAGACTCCATCAGCAGAGTCAACTGTGAGTCTGTGATGCAAAACATGCAGGAGATGCTGCGGCAGGCACGCCTTCAGAAAGCAGCGCGAGCGCGGACACACGTGAGAGCCTCACACCAGCACACACTCGTGAGAGAGAAACAGACTGCTGCGGAGCGGATGCCAATGCTTCTGTGTGTTTCAGGCAAACGGATCAGCAGAGAAAGACATCTATGAGGAATATCTGACGCAGAGAGAAATACAAGACTCCATCAACAGAGTCAACTGTGAGTCTGTGATGCAAAACATGTCTGGGTCATATTTCGCCACAAAATCAAAATGAAAAATATAGGAAATTTGCACAAGTAAATTTTAATTTTTTTAGAACTATTACGATTTTTTTTTACTCAATTGATTATTATTATAAAATATTATTACTATTTTTATTATAACGTTGTTGTTGTTATTAATAGTAACAACAAAACAACTTATTTTATTACTATTTCAATTATTATTTTTCTTTACCGTCTTATTCATAATAATAGTTTTGTTATTACTTATTATTATTATTGTTGTTGTTGTTGTTAACAAAACAATAACTATTTATCAGTATTTCAATTATTTAGTTTTTTTTCATTCATTTTTAATTTTCCGTTATAATATTAATAATAATAACATAAAACGCTTATAATAAAATATTATTGTTATTATTACTAAATAATAACAATAATATTAATTATACAACAAATGTTTATTATTACTTTATTTCTTTTCTTTTTTTTTATGTTCATTAATTTTCAGAATTCACAACGTTTTATTATAATAATGTTCTCATTAGAATGTTATATACACGACATTCCCAATCATAGTTATTAATGTTGTGCACTGCTGTTTGAGCTGCGTGCGCTGAGCTAAAGATGATCACCGGTAAACTGAAGCGCTCTTTTAACTTAACCAAACGCATTCTATATGAGATAAATCAGATATACATCAAATAAACACAATATTACAACGTACAATTGCACAAAAGGCTGCAAACGAACAGCGCGCATCTGAAGTGTCTCTGAAGGAAATAATGCATTATTTATCGGCTTTAAGATATCGGCCAAATTTTCTTATCGGGCCGATACCGATAACATACAAAATTAGCATTTTATCGGCCGATACCGATATGGTGGCCGATATATCGTGCATCCCTATCAAAAATAGATCCCACCTTCTATGAAATATGACATCTTTGCTATAGGTTAAGTAATATTCAAGTATAAGTACATATTCAAGTATAACCCTGTGCCATAGTGCCCTTGAAGGGGCTTTATCCATCAACCAGTTCAAAAGAATACATTTTCTTGCACAAAATGTTAGGAACTTGCAAAGTGTCTTTTTATGTTTGTCTACAATAATGTCATCAACATATGTTTTGGATCACAGCCAATATTAATAGATAAAATAACATTAAGTTCTTGTTCAACCATAACCCCTCCAATGACTGAGATCTCCTTCCACACTGGCGAGCACTCTTTAAACTTGTGCCTCCGCGGGGGAGAGATATGAGCTCTGTGCAAGATTTTATTATTACCATTTCAATTATTATTTTTCATTTTTTATCTTATTGTTGTAATAATGAAAAAATAACGGTTTCTTAACTAGTTGCCTATTAACATGCATATTACTAGAATATTAGCCATTTATTAGTAGTAATTAAGCATATATTAATGCCTTATTCTACGTCCCTAATCCTACCCAATACCTAAACTTAACAACTACCTTACTAACTATTAATAAGCAGAAAATTAGGAATTTATTGAGGGGAAAAGTCATAGTTAATAGTGAATAAGTGTTCCCTATTCTAAAGTGTTACCAAAATAACAACAAAACTATTAATGATGATAATAATAACAGCATACAATCTCATGGCAGTTTCTCTTTACAGTAATGAAAATTATGTGCTTAATTATGACAAATTGCATTGTGATGTTCATCTAAGGGACTTATCACAATGTAAACATAATGCAAAAAATCTTAATATTCCTAAAAACAGACTTAATTTTCATGAAGCTCTCTGCCTCTCTGCTGTGTTTTCATTGAGCGGAGTTTGCTGTTGGACGATGACCGTGTGTGTGTGTGTGTGTGTGTGTGTGTGTCTGTGTGTGTGTGTGTGTGTGCCTGTGTGTGTGTGTGTGTGCAGCGCGGGCGGCGGTGGAGCGGGTGGACGAGGCGCTGGACTGCAGTGATTCTCTGGCGCTCTTCAGTGCTCTGCAGAACTCCAGTCTGGCGCTCACAGGACTGATCCGAGATCACGCCGGCTGGTATCTGGAGCAGCTGACCTCTGACCGAGAGCAGAAAGCCCTGGTGAGACACTCGCTATCCACTCACACACACACACACACACACACACACACCATACACCGCTGACTAAGGTGTGTTTGTGTCAGGATCTGGGCTGTGTGGATCCGCTGGAGAGAGATGAGCTGCAGGAGGGCGTCAGTGTGGCCAATGAGGAGGCGCAGAGAGACCGAACCAGTCAGTGATGCATCTAAAACACTCTTGTATTAATGCAGGCCTGTTCATTAGTGTGAGCTGTGGAGGCCAGTCTGTGGTGTTAAAGTGTGTGTGTGTGTGTGTGTGTGTGTGCAGTGCAGCAGGCAGTGTGTAAAATAAACGAGGCCGTGCGGCGTGGAGAAGCTCGTCAGACGGTTCGAGCTCTAATGAATCCAGATGCTCATCTGCCAGACGTTTATCCGTTTGCTGCAGAACTTTATCAGAGAGAGCTGGCACCACTGCAGCGCCAGTGTCCACAGGTAACACACACTCACACACACACACACACACACTCTCTCACACACACACTCACTCACTCACACTCACTCTCTCACACACACCCACTCACTCACACACACACACACTCTCACATTCACACACTCACTCTCACACACACTCACTCACACACACACACACACTCACTCACTCACTCACTACACACACACACACACACACACACTCACACTCTCACACACACTCACACTCACACACACACACACACTCTCACTCACACACACACACCTTCATTCTGTGTTTGATCCCGGAACACGAGAGAAACAGATTCTATTTATAACCATGAAGAGGATTGGCATGTTGGGGCTGTGAGTTTCCTTAGGTTTTTAGTTTTGGATTCATTAGTAAAATCATGTGGTGACATCACAAGAAGAGACTTGCATGTTTTGTTCTAACATCAGTTACACAGAGTCAGACCTCAAACATGACAGTATTTTGAAAGAGGACTAATAAAACAAGTAATTGACTCGTGTGCCTTAGTCAGTGGACAGCAGATGATTATACACTCCTGGTCAAAAGTTTGTAATTTAGTCTCTTCTGCTTGCCAAGGCTGCATTTATTTGATCAAAAATACTGTAAAAATTGTTAAATATTATTAGAATTTAAAACAGCTGTTTGTGCGTGTCTGTGTGTGCGTGCCTGTGTCTGTGTGCGTGCGTGTGTGCCTGTGTGTGTGTGTGTGTGTGTGCAGGGGGAGCTGCAGCAGGAGGAGTTGTTTGTTGCAGTGGAGATGTTGTCTGCGGTGGCTCTGGTTAATCAGGCCGTGGAGGTTCAAGACTTCGGTGCATTCAGCGCTACACTGCTCAGTCCTGCAGCTGGACTCGCCGACATCGATGACAGTCTGATGCAGAGGTCTGACCACTCACTCATCAAAACCTGTTTCACTCGATCTCCTGCACGCCTTCTGTCTCTGATTGAGAGTTTAGAGTGTTTTATAGTTGAGGAGCGTTTGTTTCCAGAAGCTTTACTTTCACTGTTCCTCAGCGGAGGAATGATCTTCACAAGCCTCCAGAACATCTCACATCTTCTGAGGAGCCTTTATTTCTTCAGCTCTCAATCACTGCATTATATGTTTGGAGCATTTCAATCTCATCTTACTGAGACAGATTACTGGAGATATAGAGCGACCACTGATATTCAGATCATTTTATGTCAGTATCTGCTGTATATTTTTGACAGTTTGAGTCTCTGAATAAAATTGAGCTTCATGTTCTCACTATATCGGACTAGATGAGCCATAAAAGCCTGATGGAGCAAATATGATAAAACATGTATTTTGTTTTTTGTTTTTTTAGATTTTGTCTAAAGATTCAATAAACTGTTCCATTTCAAAAAAAGTGATGATTATTTCATATGTCAAACTGTGCGTGTGTGTGTGTGTAGGTATTTCGAGCAGCTGTGTGAGCTGAAGAGGAGGGCAGGTAAAGCTCTTCTCAGCTGGAACGATCTGCAGACGGGACTGAACGCCGTCAACTCGGCTGCTCACGAGGAACATGAACGTCAGTTCATCACAAATGTGATTTTAAAGTGATTATAATAATTAGTCAGTAGCATTAGTGACGCTCTGACTGTTGATCTCCGCAGAGATTCTCACCATCGGTCTGATCAATCAGGCTCTGAGCCGCAGCGACCCTCAGAAGACGCTCTCGGCGCTGATGCTGCCCTCCAGCGGCCTGCAGGACATCTTCCCGCTCAACGCCAGACGCTACCATGATGTGCTGACCCGAGCCAAACGACACAAGTCTGAGGTAACACCTTCATTAATCACTGCTGGTTTACTGCACTGCATCAGCATTGAGACCTGAGACTTCTGTTGTTCAGTCATTCATTCATAAAGCTGCACTATAAGACTTTGTTCTCTTTATTGCCTTCTCTATATGCAAGTTACTTAGTGTTGTGCTTCTGCACAAATAACTCGCATCAGAGCAGATGTCAATTTAATCAAGTCATACTGACAGTCAGAAGTACATCCTGCAAGCCATGTTTCTGAATAAAAATGCTGTCTAAACAATAGTGTTGGGTACCGAAACCCGGTACCAATATGGCACCGGTACCTATGTAACCGGTATGTACTAGAACCGAATCCGAACGCAGATGACATGCCTGAGCGATCGATTGAAATATTTGTCCTCTGGTTCTCCGAAACGGACGTAAGAAGCATCATCGCCGGCACCGCACGTGAAAAACAATTTCCCGACTGAGAAAACGCACGTGAACAAGGGTCATGAGTTCTCTACTTCTGTGACTGGATATGTGCATTTTCTGTGCGAGGGCGCCCTCTGGCGTCCAGTATGAATGAAACAGACATCGTGTGTTTATAGTGTTAATGGCCAATCCATCATTTTTGGGGGGAATTTTTATTGATTTATTTTTTAATAAGTATCGGTTCAAGGTACCGGAACCGTTTTAAAAGTATCGATTTGGCACCGGTATCGAGAAAAAAAAACGATACCCAACCCTACTGAACAAGTAACATTCTGATCTGACCTGTTCTTAAAACATAAAATAAATCACAATACTAACATTGAGATATAACATTTAATTAGTCAGATTAGAGAGAGGACTAGACAGAAAATGAGAACTATTTTATTAAGCTTTGGTTCAGAAATTGTAAATGTTAAAATACTGGTCATAATTTGTGTGCAGTTATGCTATGTTTAGATTTCAGCAATACAATCTCTAATTAATTTTGGATTTGCTCATTGCATGTTTTTATTACAATTATTCATTTCAAGTAAGAAATTACATAAAAACAGGGTTATTATAGTTAACTAAAACCATAAAAACATTTTCATTTTCGTTACTTGAAATAAAATAAATGTTAACTGAAATAAAATAGAAAGAACTTAAAAATGAAAAAACTTATATATATATACATATTAAAAATAAATAAATACAGAGTGCATCTTTAAATGTTAAATTTGATTGTACCTGAATCCTGAATAATAGGTTGCAGTCTCTCTGTGTATTTGGGGATGCTCTCGTTTCATGTCTGAGCGTGTGAATGAGGATGTTTTCTTGTGTAGCTGAGCCGTGATCCGGGAGCTGAGCTCTGGTTGGCTGACATTCAGGAAGCTGTGAGACTGGCCAATCAGGACACTCAGAAAGCACTGAAGAGTGAGTGAATGCACACAAACACACATGATACGCTAGACACGCATAGTATAACTGCAAGGGTTTCTGATGGATAGAAGAAGAAAAAAGAAATTAATTCAAGGCAAGACACTAGAGGCAGAACCATTGCTTTTTATGCACTGGTTGATTTAGATCTATTTTGCTTCCATAACATGTCTTTCTTCATACTAGTGAAAAGAAAATATCCAAAATACACGTTTAAGTGTATTTTTGTTATTGCACTTAATCTGTTTGTCAATTCCAATCCATATCTTTTTGTTCTTACATACACCAAACTGCAGTTTTATTCCTCTCTATGTTCCGAAGGCTTTTATTGAGGGTTTTGTTCATAAATCGTTCACACTGGTGTGTACGTTTTACTCCTAAAACCGTGGTGAAAATGTGTTTGTTTTCTGTCTTTTGACAGTATTTTCTGATTTATGGAGTAATAAAAAGAGAAATCCAGAATCCTCTCTGGAAAAATCTTAAACTCTAATATTTCAGTAAAATCAAACTGGAATTTTGAATCTGGCAATGTTCAGTGTATGCAAATTAGAGCATATTTAACCAGATATGGTCTTATTTGCATATTTAAACATTTTTAACTTTTCAGAAACTGGATAAGTGTGAAGTTTTTTGTTTTTCCCTTATTGACCTGTACTGTCTCGCCTTAAAGCGCAATTGTTACATGCCCTGCAGCTTTAGATTGTAAGAGTTTATCACATCATTTTCAATCCTCACAAGGAAACAAATGCTAACTCTCTGTTCGTGTGTGTGTGTGTGTGTGTGTGTGTGTGTGTGTGTGTGTTCTGTACAGTGTGTCTGGGTCTGGCGGCGGTCAATCAGGCTGTTAAAGAGGGCCGAGCGTCTCAGACGTTGCGTGTTCTGCGTCTGCCAGAGGTGGCGCTGCGGAGCGTGGTGTCCGGATGTGCTGATGGGTATCAGACAGAGCTGACCGCCCTGCTCCGCGCCAAAACACTGGAGGGTCAGTCCAACACAAACACACACACAACTAGAGCTCTGTTACACAGCTGGACCCAACTAACTGCTGCATTCAGTGTGAAACGTACAGGGATCTTTTTTGAAATTGGAATTTTGAAAGCTGAATAAATAATCTTTCCATTGATGTATGGTTTGTTAGGATAGGACAATATTTGGCCGAGATACAACTATTTGAAAATCTGGAATCTGAGGGTGCAAAAAAATCTAAATATTGAGAAAATCATCTTTAAAGTTGTTCAAATGAAGTTCTTAGCAATGCATATTACTAATCAAAAATTAAGTTTTGATATATTTACAGTAGGAGGTTTACAAAATATCTTCATGGAACATGATCTTTACTTAATATCCTAATGATTTTTGGCATAAAAGAAAAATCTATAATTTTGACCCATACAATGTATTGTTGGCTATTGCTACAAATATACCCCAGCGACTTAACACTGCTTTTGTGCTCCAGGGTCACGTATAAGATCCGTAAAGTTGCGAAAATTTAAATCTCAAACCCAAAGAGATATTCTTTCTGATAGTTAAGACTCGTCCACGCCCTCCTAAAACGCCTCACACCCCCACAATATCTGCGTCACTGTGTTGGATTATTTGCATAACTCCGCCCAAATGTGTACGCGAAGAACGAAGGCGTAGCTTTTATTCTCTCTGTAGTATTGTTGTCGTGGAGATGCTGTACGTTTCCAAATATGGTAAGGGGCGTAACATTTCATCACACGCTTGAGGTATTCGGCCAATCACAACGCACTGGATAGCTGGCCAATCACAGCACACCTCGCTTTTCAGAACGATGAGCTTTGTAAAAATCGACGCGTTTCAGAAAGACAGGACAGAGAGGAGCCACAATACTGTACAGTATGTGGAAAATAATGTGTTTTTTGAACCTTAAACCACTAAACACATTGCATTACACCAAATACACAACATAATGTGTTTTTTAGCATCATCATATGACTCCTTTAATATGGTCCCAGAAAACACTATGAGTGTAGGGTTTGGTGGCAGAGATTTTAAGTTTAATGCTATTTATTTTACTCTTTGAGCTTCTACATTTGGTAGTAAATGCAGTTACTTGTTGCATGTAGAGAACATGCTGACTTCCACACAAACACGGCACGGGAATATGATCCTTGTTTTAAATTCATGAGTCTGCAATGCTGACTATATCTGTGTGATTCATACTGAAACTCGTCCTGTATGATCCCAGTGATGTTTAAGTGTGTGTTTGTATGTTGAGCAGGTGATAACAGAAGCCCGTGGATGAGGACGAAGCTGCCGGAGAGCAGCTCTTACTTCTTTCATCTGCAGAAGCTGGAGGGCACCTGGGAAAGACCTCAAGGGTTCGTCCAGAACAGCACCTTCCTGACGCACGAGGAGATACAGGTGAGACACACACAAACACCTGAACCAGCAAAACGTGCTGAATCTGACATCCAGGGGCCAGTTGTTCAAAGTTAATCCAATCGGATTTTGGCCATCGGATTGGATCAAATCTTAAAAATGGGTTGTTCAAAATAAAACTGACTATCAGATCACAAAATCCAATTTTGGTTTTGATCTGGATTAAATCTTCAGTTTGTGTTTTGATCCCAAAAAACTGGATTGTTCTGATCCCAGCAGAACGGTGGATTTCAGGAACAAAAATTTAATAAAAGTTTAAAATTGGTCCAAAAAATACAACATTTGTAACATGTACCCCCGGTTTCACAGACAAGGCTTAAGCCTAGTCCCAGACTAAAATGTAAGTCTGAGCTGTTTCAAATGAAAGAAACTTGCACCGACTGATCTTAAAATATATCAGTGCCTTTGTTTTGTCTCAAGATGAACACCACTAATGTTTTTTTCTAAGGCACGTTTATAAAAATTACTTAAATGTCCTAATTGAACTATGGCCTAATCCTGGCTTAGGCTAAACCCTGTCTATGAAACCGGGCCGTAATATATCCACAAATCCCCAAACAGCTGTTAATATCAAACAAAAATATTATGTTTAATTTAAAGTTTTTTTTTTTGTTTGTTTTTTAATCACTGATTGTAAACTACATTGGCACAATCATCCCCCCCCCCCCTTCTCATTTTTTTCCATCACCATGTCCCTTTAGGGGCTCCGTAGCGCACTAGTAATCCAGATTTGGAAATCTAGAATTTCAAATCAGGGTGATCCAATCCAATTTTGCACAAATGTAAGATGGGTTACCTGATCCTGCATAGCAAAAAAACCCAGATCATTCTGATCCAGATTAAACTTTTTGATCAGCTGGCCCCAGAGGTAACTGTGTGGATGTTTTCTGCCGCCCCCTGCAGGCCGTGTGCAGTAGCGTGACTGCGGCTCACAGCAGAGGTGTGCAGTGGAAGACCAGTGAGCCGCTAGTGCTGCAGCTGCAGGCGCGCATGCGAGGATTCCTGCTGCGACAGAAGCTCGCCGAGCGCTTGCACTTCCTGAACACTCAGCTGCCTGCCGTCATCACCATCCAGGTGAGACTCACCTGTGCATCAACATGCACACACAAAACTTTAGTTTTAGTTGTTTATTTCACAAAACGCATTGTTTCAAAGCAGCTTCACGGTAAATCTTGATGTTAATGTTTATATTATTAGTTAAAGCTGCAGTCCGTAACTTTTGACGCTCTAGCGGTTAATAAACAGAACTGCGTGCATCTTGAGGAAGAACATTGCAGCCGGAGCTACTTGTCTCTGTTTATGTCTATGACGAATCACGCAGTTACTGGGCTACACTGCAGCGGTTCCTACCAGAACCAGTCTGAATATAAACACTTAATATAGGTGTACCTAGGGTTGCAAAGGGGTGGACAATTTTCGGTAAGTTTCCGGAAACTTTCCCCAAAAAATCCTGGAAAATCAACATGCACACACAAAACTTTAGTTTTAGTTGTTTATTTCACAAAACGCATTGTTTCAAAGCAGCTTCACGGTAAATCTTGATGTTAATGTTTATATTATTAGTTAAAGCTGCAGTCCGTAACTTTTGACGCTCTAGCGGTTAATAAACAGAACTGCGTGCATCTTGAGGAAGAACATTGCAGCCGGAGCTACTTGTCTCTGTTTATGTCTATGACGAATCACGCAGTTACTGGGCTACACTGCAGCGGTTCCTACCAGAACCAGTCTGAATATAAACACTTAATATAGGTGTACCTAGGGTTGCAAAGGGGTGGACAATTTTCGGTAAGTTTCCGGAAACTTTCCCAAAAAAATCCTGGAAAGTTTCCAAAATTTCTGGAATGTTTCCGAAATTTACTGGAAACTTTCCACCGTTTTGCAACCCTGGGTGTACCACAGTGATTCAGGATAAGCCGAAAACACGGTTTGGAAAATGGATTCATGATGCACTTGCTTATAAATTTTGTAAATTGTGAACACAAAAAAAGTTACTGCAGCTTTAATATATATATATATACATTTATAGGGGTGGGAATCTTTACAGTACTTCACGATTCGGTTCATTTTGATTCTTGGGGTCACAATTTGATTAAAAATTATCAAATTTTTTGTGCACACTAGACATCAAACACACCAGTATTTTGATACAAAAACACAAGAGTCTATAGTATGTGTAGTCCTGACTCAAGAAATCAGTGTTTCCTATTAACTATTACGTTCTTAATAAATCAGAAATATTTTACACTTCCCAATGTTCCCATAAAATAACAAAAGATCAATAATTAATATAATATTTTCCAAACACTTGCCTTTGCTGAAAATAGGGCAGGATGTGTTTGTTTTTCCTCCTCCATTGCTGCTGCGGTTTTTTCGACAACATCATATGTGACCCTGGAGCACAAAACCAGACTTAAGGGTCAATTTTTCTGAATAAATGAGCTTTCCAGTGATGTATGGTTTGTTAGGATCGGACAATATTTGGCTGAGATACAACTATTTGAAAATCTGGAATCTGAGGGTGCAAAAAAATCGAAATATTGAGAAAATCATCTTTAAAGTTGTTCAAATGAAGTTCTTAGCAATGCATATTACTAATCAAAAATTAAGTTTTGATATATTTACGGTAGGAAATTTACAAAATATCTTCATGGAACATGATCTTTACTTAATATCCTAATGATTTTTGGCATAAAATAAAAATGGATAATTTTGACCCATACAATGTATTGTTGGCTATTGCTACAAATATATCCCAGCGACTTAAGACTGCTTTTGTGCTCCAGGGTCACATTATTATTATTATTGTTGTTGTTATTATCAGTCTCACTGGAGGAGGTTCATTCAGCAGAGAGAGTATCACCGCAGACTGCAGCATCTCTACCAGAACTGGAGAGCCGTCGTCAAGGTAAAGCACAGTGCAATCAGACGAACAGACAACATGTGTTTGTGTGTTTGGACTGACGTGTGATTCTCCCGCTCAGATCCAGGCCACGGTGAAGATGTGGCTCGCCCGCAGGAGATACCTCGCCCGCCTCGCTTACTTCAGGAGACACGTGAGGGTCACGCCTGCATCGTCACGAGCGTGTCTGCGTGTGGCGTGAGTCTTCACGTGTTTGTTTGATTTATCTTGTCAGGTTGGCGCTATAATCCGGATCCAGGCGTTCTTCAGAGCCAGCAGGACCCGAGAGGAGTATCACTTACTGGGTCAGTCAATGCAAACACACCTAAAGTCTCTCAATATTTGAGATTTTTCTTAAAATATTTGAGTCTCTTCTAGAGTTGGGAATCGAAAAGCAATTCTAATTCCAGAATCGGATACTTGTTGGGGCTGTTAAAAAATGTATTTGTCTTCGAGTCATTCATTCAAGAGATTCATTCAGTAATGAAACAAGTAAATCTCGAGTGAGTCATTGAATCATTCCATTCATAAATTCCGTGAGATTTTGTTTAGTTGTCTAATATTTTTTCTTCAGAATTGTGAGAGAACTACAACCTAAATTAAAAAGATAAAAGAAGCGTGCAGCTCTATTTTGCACACAAACATCTCTTAATCGAGTCCAGTTTTTATGCAGACGGCTGATTTTTTGCAAAAAGAGACACAGAATAAATATGTTTGATATCTAAATGTTTTTTGTTTTTTAACCACATTGGAATCAAACCTGGGAATCCATAAGAATTAGAATTGAAATTGGAATCGATAAAATTCAAACGAAACCCAACCCTAGTCTCTTCTGCTCACCAGGGCTGCATTTATTTGATCAAAAATACAGTAAAAATTGCTAAATATTATTACAATTTAAAACAGCTGTTTTCTATGTGAATATCTGTTAAACTGTAATTTATTTCTGTGATGCGCAGCTGTATTTTCAGCATCATTACTCCAGTCTTCAGTGTCACATGATCTTCAGAAATCATTCTAATATGCTGATTTGCTGCTCAAGAAACATTTCTGATTATTATCAATGTTGAAAACAGTTGTGCTGCACAATATTTTTGTGGAAACGGTGATATATTTTATTTTTCATGATTCACAGATAAATAGAAAGTTCAAAAGAACAGCATTTATTTGAAATAGAAATCTTTTGTAACATTATAAATGTCTTTACTGTCACTTTTGAGCAATTTAATGCATCCTTGATGAATATAAGTATTAATTTCTTTTTTTGTTTTTAAAGGCCTACTGGCCCAAAACTTTTGAACAGTAGTGTGTATCATGGCTTAACACGCCATCACTGGCTCAGACAGACGATTCACGAGACAAAGGATCATGAAACTAGTTAAATGGCATGCTTAAGAAACTTGATGAGCAAATAAAATCATCACAGTATTCATGATACCCGTCATCAAGAATGTTTAGCACATGTTGAAAGACTCCAACTAATTGACTGCAGATCTTTAGAGCAGATGTGTTTATGTGGGAATGAACCGGTCTTGAGTGTGTGTGAATGTGGTTCAGTTCACTCCAGCGCTCCGCCGCTCTCCGTCGTGCGTAAGTTCGCTCACCTGCTGGAGTTTGGTGACAGTGACATCCGTCAGGAGGGAGAGCTGCAGCGTCTCAGAGAGGAGGTGGTGAGGTCCATCCGGGCCAACAGACAGCTGGAGGCCGACCTGGACCTGATGGACCTGAAGATCGGCCTGCTGGTCCGCAACAGAGTCACGCTGCAGGTCAGGAGAGACAGCGGTGAATCTACTGCTCTGTCTGTCTGTCTTTCTGACCGTCTATCTGTCTGTCTGTCTATCTGTCTTTCTGACCGTCTGTCTTTCTGACTGTCTGTCTTTCTGACTGTCTATCTGTCTTTCTGACCGTCTGTCTGTCTTTCTGACCGTCTGTCTGTCTTTCTGACCGTCTGTCTGTCTGACTGTCTTTGACCGTCTGTCTGTCTGACCATCTTTCTGACCATCTGTCTTTCTTTCTGTCTGACCGTCTATCTGTATTTCTGACCGTCTGTCTGTCTGTCTTTCTGACCGTCTGTCTGTCTCTTTCTGACTGTCTGTCTGTCTGACCGTCTATCTGTATTTCTGACCGTCTGTCTGTCTGACCGTCTGTCTTTCTTTCTGTCTGACCATCTATCTGTATTTCTGACCGGCCGTCTGTCTGTCTGTAGGAGGTGGTGTCTATCTATCTATCTATCTATCTATCTATCTATCTATCTATCGTCTGTCTATCTAT